ATAAACAGTCTAGTGCAAGTGTCCTTATGATAAAAGGATTTTTTTCCTTCTAGGTAGATGCCCAGTAATGGGATTGCAGGATCAAATGGGAGGTCTAGCTTGACTTCTTTGAGGGTTCTGCATAATTCCTTCCCAAAAGGTTGTACTAGTTTGCAGTCCCATCAGCAGTGTAAAAGTGTTCCCTTCTCTCCAGATCCATACCAGCATCTGCAGTTTTGAGATTTTGTGATGTGGGCCATTTTCACAGGGGTTAGATTGTATCTCAAGTGATTTTGATTTGCATTTCTCTAATAATTAGGGATGATAAACATTTTTTCCTATTTGTTAGCCATTCATCTCTAAAGAATTTAGAGAAGGTTCTAGTCATGTCTCTTGCCCATTGATATATGGAATTGTTGGCTTTTTTCATGGGAATTAATTTGAGTTCTCTATAGATCCTAGTTATCAAGCTTTTGTCTGATTCAAAATAGGCAAGTATCCTTTCCCATTTTCTAGGTTGTCTATTTGCTTTGGTTGTTGTCTCCTTAGCTGTACAGAAGCTTTTCAGTTTAATTAAGTCCCATTTGTTTATTTTTGTTGTTGTTGCAAGTGCCATAGAAGTCTTCTTCATAAAGTCCTTCCCCAGGTCGATATCTTCCAATGTTTTTCTTGTGCTTTCTTTGAGGATTTTTATCATTTCATGCCTTAAATTTAAGTCCTTTATCCATCTTGAATCAATTTTTGTGAGTGGACAAAAGTGCAGGTCCAGTTTCAGTCTTTTGCATGTGGATATCCAGTTCTCCCAGCACCATTTATTGAATAGGGAGTCTTTCCCCCAGTGTACATTCTTGTTTGGTTTATCAAAGATTAGGTGGTTGTAAGATACTAGTTTCATTTTCTGGTTCTCTATTCGATTCTAAATGGCTGTGTCTCTATTTTTGTGCCAGCACCATGCTGTCTTGACCACCATGGCCTTGTAGTAACAGTCTAAAATCTGGTAAGCTGATGCCCTGGCTTTGTTTTTATTACTAAGAACTGCCTTAG